TACCACCGAAGGATGCTGGGCCAGGACCAACGTCTTCGTCAGAAACGTCAACGTCTGTGTCCTCGCCCTCGACAGAACCTAGTCAGTTTTTGCCCTTGGCCTTGCCTTTGGACTTGTCCTTGGTCTTGCCCTTGGACTTGCCCTTGTCGGCGTCCTTGCCTTTTCCTTTGGAGGACTTGCCTCCTTTGCCGCCTTCTTTGCCACCAGGAGGTTGTGCGGGTTCTTGAGGACGTTGAGAACGAGAAGCTTTAGCACCCGGAGCTGCCTCTTCCTGAGAAGAGCTTGTTCCGTGTGGTGCGGGCGCAGGACCAGTAGAACCAGAACCACGCGCCTTGTTCAACTTCTGCCTCTCTTTTCTTCTGTCCGCGGCCTCCTTCATGGTGTCGGGATTGCGGTTGAGCGCTCTCATCCTGCCTCCAGTGTACTGGTTCGCGTGAACCTCAAAAAGGAGCGGAGTGTGAGCGTCATAGTCCCGATCGTTGAGGAGGTACGCGGCGCTGGTGGAAGTCAACAGCCACTCGGAGACATGGATGTCGAACTCGGTCCTTGAAGACGGGAACTCTGCCCATTGATCGTCCGACATGCTGTGTCCCCATTCCATGACTGTAGCCATAACAGGATCCAACCCAGGAAAAGTATTCCAGTCTGGTTGCTTAACTTCCCTGTATGGCATTCCCAGCGTGTCCTCATACTGCTTCAGAAGCCACATGGCGTTTGCTGACACATGCCTCGCGCGAGGCGAGCAGAGGTGTAGGCTCTTCGGGCTTTCTGACCAGGCCTCCAGGAAGTAGTCCATGAGACTCTGGTACATCCCGCCGCGGATGTCCATCGATTCCTGCTTCCTGCCAGTGGCCCGGTACAGGGCCATGTTGGCGTCGCCTCCAATGAGGTCGACCTGGTAGTGCAAGCAGTCGATGAACATATTGCCCAACACCTCGTGAGCCAACGCCACCTTGTCTGCCGCCACGTCGTTCCGGAGATGGAAGACACAGACTCTGATACGGTCGGAGCCGGCGCGCTCCAGGACCTTAGTCAGTGCCTCTTCTGGAAAATCATCTCGATTGCCCTGAATGCCAGTCGGAACTGTCATGCCGTACACGATCTCGACGACCATGTAGGTCAGAGGGAGAGACTCGTGTGCGAATCCACTGAGAGTGGAGCCAGCCAGGCGGGTGAGCGAAGATCCAACACCATTGGTACGACTTCCCACCATCAGATCCTTTGACTCGTTGCGCAAGAACTGCCAACCGCGCGACGTGAGGAAGGCCTCCTCGGAGTCATCGATCTTGGCTGCTTCGCATAGCATGAACAAATGCGTCTTCGACTGGGCAATTGATTTTATCAGGGCTCCACGAGACGGTGTAGAATCGTCCCAGTCAATGTGATCAGCAACGGAGGTAGGAGCAGAACGCTTCCTTCCCCTGCTCATGTTGCCGAGATTGACGATGAGCGCGGCGTACTTGGTCTTGCTGGTAAAGATGGGAACCTTTGAGTCCTCTGCCAGACCAAAACGATGAATATAAGGATTCGGTGTCTTCTCAAGAGAGAGGTCTCCGATCTCCTCTTCATCAACTCCGACGCTCAAGAAGTAATGAAGCATAGCGTTCAAAAGCTCTTCTCGAGTTGCCGGATTGCCGCTTGCATCGAGGGACTTCAGCTTATCCAGAAGTGCTTCCATAACCTCGAGAGCTGATTCTCGGATGTCACAGGCCTTACCCATGAGTTTGTCATCCAAGGTGCTGCGGACGTCCCCAGAACGAAAGACCACATTCTGCTTTTCGGGACGGCGCTCGTAGATGGGAGACATCTTGTTGAGTTGATCGAAGAGGTCCCCCATGGAGAGGGTGTATTTCTGTCCCTTGTGAGGTGGAACATTTACCCTCCAACTCATATGCTGCACCTTGAAAGCGAGAACGGGCTCGTAGTCAAAATCACGCAGTCCTGTATGATACAAGCCTGAATAGCCGTATCCATTTAGCTGCTTGGTAAGCAGCCTCATAGGGCTTTGTCGTTCGATCTCAGTGAGCTCCGAGAGGAAACGTTTGAACTCTTCGGTATCTTTGAGCTCAATCTTATCCTTGGCCTTGCCCATCTCCTCGAACGCGTTCTCGTTCTGGTCCTCTGCATCCTTCGCGGCCTGGTAGTACTCAGGGTCCGGAACAGTCTTGCATTTCCCCCAGATGCCTTGATCGTGAAGTTCACTTGCATTATCCTTTTCGGGAGAAATGTCTGGCATGGATTCCTCACCCTGTGGTGAGCTTTCATCAGCCATCTCGATGTTCTCGGACTTACCTCCTTCCTGACCCATGTGCTCATCAGATTCGACCTTTACCTTGGATCCCTCTCCATGTGGAGAGCCTTCCTCAGCTTCGGTCTTCTGTGGTGTGACATCAGCCCCAGATACCTCTCCCTGTGGAGAGCCTTCCGGAACGTCTGTCTCCATTGGCTCGACTGTAGCCTCAGGTACCTCTCCCTGTGGAGAGCTTCCCGGAGCGTCAATCTCCATTGGCACATCGGTCGGCTCGGTCTTCACCGGATCAACCTTCTTGCCCTGTGGCAAGTCCGAAGATCCAGTAGCCGGCTCGGAGGTGTCCATCTGAGTAGCCGCCGGAGGCTCCTCGATCTCCTCGATCTGTGATCTGTGGACATGGGAGCCGCTCGATAAACTCCTCGATCATAATGTCGTCATATGGTCGGGTGAGGAGCTCATTCAGTTCGGACTCCTTCTTCGCCTTCAAGTTCTCGTAAGCCACCAAGTCTGCTTTGGCTTTACGTGCGAAAGCCGATTTGAAATCTCGGTGCTCAGATTCAGCGAAGACTTTGTCCAGAACAGCCAGAAGGTAGCTGCCGTTGAACGGCTGCTTGAGGGTACTGTCGCAGAGGTTGTAGCCCTCAGGGGTTCGCACCGTATATTTCCGGCGAACCTCCAGATCACTGGCGTGGCGCTGGATGTAGGAGAAAAAGTCCACTCCATAAGCCTCATTGATGACGCGGACGAGCATCTGGAAATCCTCTCGCACATAGCCAACCTCTTCATACACATACCTTTCCCTGAGGAAAGCATTGTGTGCGGCAAGCTTGCGAGAGTAGTCAGGATCCTCTGTCCTTGGCATCTTTGCACGAGAGTCATTGTCCCTAGGGCGATCGAATCCAATGTTACCCACGGTGGGCCTGAATTCGTTCGACGCGGCAATGGAGACATCTTCCAGCATCTGGGCAAGACCACCCGGATGACGTCTAAAGTTCATCCAGGGTGATGAGTAACCGTTGGAGTAAACCTTCGGTTTCTTGTCCAGCTCCACGAGATAGTTCCCCTGCAACTTCCCCATCTCGAAAGCTTTGAGGAAGAAGTGCAGGGAGTACCCCGAAAGAGGATGCTGCAACCACGATACCCAGTCGTATTCGCCACCCAGAGACTCTCTCATAGAAGTAGTCAGAGTGTGCCAGGGAGTGACCTGAACGAGGGCATCGCCATAGGTGCTAAGCATCGGCTGGCCAGAGGAGTCCACCATGCGCAACTTGCCGTGAGCAAAGAGGTGCCATGGATTGGTCCTTGCCTTGCGGAGAACCTCGTTGAGCTCCTCCTGCTGCTGAACCTTATGCGCATCAACCTTGCCGTGGACGGTGTCCCCAGACTGGTACGCATACTTGGTGTCCCCTTCGGAGGCTGTGGCTCGCCGCTCCCGCTCCGCCTTAAGCTCATTCTCGCGAATAAGCTTCTGGAGAGCTTCCGCGTCTAAGGTGGGTACCTTCTCCTGAGAGAAGCTTCCCGTCGACGCTTGGCCTTCATCCTGAGATGTCTTTGGCCTCTTCTTGGGAGCTGGCTTCGAAGGCATTTGATCCGATTTGCTACCCGGTACCCCTCCATGTGGAGGGCCTCCGGAGGCAGATGCGGAAGCAGACGCTGGGGTTCCCTCTTCATGAGAAGAGCCTACCCCTGCGGTTTGCTGCTTCCTCTCGTGGCGAATGCCACCCGGATCTTGCTCGTGAGGAGGACGGTAATGATGTGTGAGATACATCGCCGGAATGTCCTTGTACGAGAGCACCACGCCGTTGTCTGTAAGGAACAGATCGTGGCCGTGTTGCAGATAGTTCTCGTAATCGAGCTTGGCGTAGAAGACGTAGGAGCCGTACTTAATGACGGTCCCAGGCCCAGGAGAAACCACTCCACCCGCATAAACGAGATGGATGGCCTTCCTGTGCCGCTGCCACGCCGCCTTCGTCGCCTCCAGCTTTAAGCCGTTTTCCTTGATGCTCTCGTAGTTGCTGTTGTCCGAGGCGTGGAAGATCGTTCCTAGCTGGCGGCATCGGTCAAGGGTGAGCCCTTCCCCGTAGGCGACATCGGCGACCCGCTCGGGCATCCGCGAGTGGCCCTGGACGGCGGAGACCCCGACGTAGAAGTCGAAGTCAAAGAACCGCTCGAACTGCAGAGCCACTGGGGCCACCCAGATGTTGAAGCGGCCCTTCGAGTTCGCCATCAAGAAAGCGAAGAACTTCTTGGGCGCCCAATCGAAAGGCCTCAATTTGGGGGGTTCCATGTGGATGTTTCAAGGGGGGGTCTACACTCCGGCCACGCTGCCCCCATGCTGCCATGCATGGTATGCTCGAACAGGCATGTGTCCACATGAGTTTGGGGTCGGAAAAGGCACGTGTCCACATGAGTTTGGGGTCGCAAAAGGCATGTGTCCACATGTTCTGGGGCCTACAGAGGGCAAGTTGTCCACAAGAATCGGGGTCTCACCCAGCAGGTTGTCCACATAGCTGGCGGCTAGATATGGGGATATAAAGCGACATAAATATGATATAAGTTGTTAAATAAGACGATATGGGCGATATGACGCGATATATAGGTTCAACATATCTACTTACACCATCAAACCACGCCGAAATAAGCTGTTGGAAGCTAGCCTTTTGCGGTCAGCTCGATGTAACTTCAAGAGAGTCGTATAGTAGCACGACAGAAGTTTACTTAACCATGTGTGACACATGTTTTGTGCTCCATGGACGAGAACGATGACTTGCTGGCAGACCTGGAGGACCCGGGCGTGATTTTTTGACATAGAATGAAGGGGAAGTGTTCTAATGTGGGACACACCAGATACTAGATGTGATTCATATGATTGGTTCTTCTTCAATTGTGATTGCTTCAGTTCCTTTTATGTACTCCATCAAGCATGCGGTTGGCGCCGAGGTCGTCCTCCCCGAAAGTTGTTGCCGTATGCAACAGGCGTTTGTATATGGTATGTGTATGTACAGAAACGGATGCTTGTTTAAGAAGTTAGGTTTAGAAGAATCAGAAAGGGTTCCTGATTCTTCTTGGAATCATGGAACATGTGGCAACTGTTGGGGCAGGTATTGCATGTGTTTAAAGTTTGGCCCTCATGTTCCAGGAGCCGGGCCAAGCGGCCGAATTGGCCGCACTGGATCTTTTGTCCGGTGTTGAGGCCTGTGATTCATTGAGAATAGAAGCAGACAGCCCAAGCCGAGGGAGTTTAGACTCGAGGCCCACAAAGGCAAATTTGCAGTTTCCTACCCGTCCTTCGCCTGCAGTCACTAGTCAAGTCGCTAGTTCATGCCTGTTTGAAGCCCTATGATCCTGGCAAGTTATCGTTTGCAGAAGCACGCAGGCGGAGGATTCGCAGGTTGACTTCGACCTTTTTGCAGAGTTGGCCGCGCCAGCACCTCGACTCGACTGGGGGACGGGGAGGGTATCAAAACGACGAGTCGACAGGGTTTCGCCTTGAAGGGTAAGTTTTGCTGGATGGGTGTACGTTTTGACGACGAGACGATGATCTGCCTGGATAAGCATGACCAATCAGTCGTTGGTTTCCTCAGGTGGACGCACCAGCTGAGCTTCCCGAAGGAGCACCTGGGAGTGCATCTCGGCCAAGCATAACATAACCCTTAGCTTAGCAGCCTTAGCCGCCTTAGCCTTAGACTTAGATCCCTTTAGACTCAGACGTGTGGTGCTGTTGTTGTGTGATCCAGAAGTTGGGCGTTTCGCAAGAAGTTTACCGGTAGCATCGTATTTCTGTGCTGACCCTCATTTTATCTGATCCTGCCGATGTCGCGGTCCCTGACATGTCGCTCTCAGGCAGTCGTAGGTCTTAGGCTTAGGTATTCGGTCTTCGGGTTTAAGACCTATAGGACTATAGGAAGTAGGATTTTAGGCCTTTAGGCTGGCTTCGGCATTTGTTGTCAATTCCGCAGGTGGGCCGACCTGAGCCACCTGAAGAAGCGGTTGGAGTGGAGTCTCGGCTATTCGTTGCAGTCTGGCGGCTTTACTTAATTTGTTCCCCACGACCGCTTTCCTGGGGTGCTCTTACAGAGAACCAACCGAAACAGACCATTGGCGGTTTTTCTGGTGGCTTTCGCTTTTGAGATGTTGTGTTTGCTTGTTGTGGCTTTTTCGCAAATGGAGTGTTATCTTGCTCGGCGGTGCTGCTGTCCTGAAGTAGACGGATCTCGTGCTGCATCTAGCAGCTAGCTAAATGATTACCAAGACTTGAGGTTTATATTTGGCCAGGCTGGGTTGGTGATATGACAGTGCCAGTGCATTGTAAAGTAGTGTATTCAAACTGTTGCTGGCCTGTCTTGTGGCTGAGATACGCGTGGCAGAGCCGGATGTTCAGCCGGCACGTGTCAAGGCTGCACGTGACAAGGCTGGAGGGCCAGGGCGATGTGATGGAGGTTTACAATAAACCGACCTGTGGTAAACCTTCCCCTTCCCGTTACTGCTCTCCTTGCCTTCAGTACAGCGCTCAACACTCAGAACAATTCTGGTAGCAAGGTTATGGAAAAGTCTGATCTCACTGCGGGCTAGTAGCGTCTAGCGGAGTCTAGCGGCAGCTAGCGGCTAGTGTAGCAGTTTTTTCAACAAATTTTGCAACCGAGTACATAACATGATACAGGCGTGTAGCACGTAGGGTAAGTCACATTTAGCAAGTTGTAGTTAAACGTACGTATGTGTATGCTGTATGTAGTGTATGTAGTTACCGTGCAGTCCCGATTGCAGTCAAGTTGAGTGAAAGAATCGGGGCCAGCCCGGCGCCAGGAGTCTCAATTTGGTGTTGGCAAAGTCGCCGACCGCTCTTATGCACAGCTTTGTGTATTTGCAGCGCAGGGCCGGGCTGCAATTGCTGCCAAGCGGCATGAGCAAAGGCTGCATCAAAGTGCAACTGCTGCGCAGCAGTTTGCGGAGCAGCACAATGAAGCCAAAATTGGGCGAGCTCCAGAGCTGAAGATCGTCCAGAAGCGAGCGCGCTTCGAGCTGGTCTCAATGGCCTCAAAAGTTCGCAAGCGCCGTGTGCTCAACGCATTGGATCTCTGTAGAATCGGATTTGACAAGAGGCGGAACCGGGCCGCTGACAGCGATGCATACATGGTCTCGAAAGTCACAGTGCTGCGTGGGCTCGTTTTGCTCTGTCACACAGTCCTGGAGCAGCAACTCGCAATGATGCGGGACTTTGCATCTTGGGTCGTGGCACACAAGCCAGATGCGGCCGCGGCAGGGCTTTGTTGGGATGAGACGTTGAGATTCTGGCTCTCGGCAAGACGTCTGTGCACGGCACAGAACTTGGCTTGCAGCAGCAGCGCTCCAGTTGGAATGTGCTTGTGGCACGACTCCATTTTTGCGTTGCATTCAGGAACGGTCCCGAAATCTATCGAGAAATGGTGTTGCCGCCAGTGCCACTTCCGAGCAACAGCTCGGCTGAGATTTATTTGGGGCTGCCCAAGCATCCGCTGTCAAGAGGCGTCATTGACTATGTCCAAGACATCCTGCTGGCATCCCGTCATCGCATCATGCTTCACGAAGGCATGATGTGGGCATGCGCGGTGCTTTCATTGTGGTGCCAGCCTAGTCAAACGAGGTTCTTTGTGACTTAGACTTAGACTCTCTCTAGCTCTAGACTCTAGACTCTAGACTCTCTAGACTCTACTCTACTCTCTCCAGACTCTAGACTCTGGACTCTAGACTCTGGACTTTCTCTAGATTCTATACTCTAGACTCTAGACTTTAGACTTCTAGTCTAGATTGTTATTGTGGTCGAATTGGCTGTTGCTTTGAGCTGCGGTTCTCCGTTCACGGATTGAGTCAGCAATTGCCGGAGACAGATCGAACAGTTGCCCAGTGATAGAGTAGGGTCCAGTTCCGAAACATCCAGGACTCGGACCTTTATTGGATTATCGGCGTGTGGCTTCAAGTTAAACTTGCCAAGTAAGTCCCTATAGTATAGCCTATAGCCCTATAGCCTATAGCCCTATAGCCCTAAGATGGTCCTATAGGACCTATATCCGATAGGCAATGGCCTAGGACAGCAAGGCCCCTTCATTGATTCCTGTGCAAGGTGATGCGCACTTGGCGAATGCCAAGCTGCACTATCACCATTACAACAAGGAACAAGAGCGACAGCAGCAACAGGAAGGCTCCAAGCCGGTTTACACTGAAATGATGCTTTGCCAGAATCATCAGACCAACTTGATCGTAATGGAAGGGATCAATGTCACGCCGCGAGCCCCAGATGTTGGCGGGCGTCTCATACAAAACTTGTATGCCAGCACGTTGTTTCTGAGGATGGGAGGCCATTTCTTGCGAATTTTGGGCCCATTGAAATCGAAGCTGGAGGACCCTTCGTTCTTCACGTGGGTGCCAAACCCCACAGCGGAGCAGAGTGCCCAGAGCCGCGCATTCTGTGCAGAAACGGCTATGTTCCTGGTCGATAACTTGAAGCACCACCAGCGGCAGATGGCTCCCGGATCTGCAGGCCAGCAATGCAAAATGAGTCGAAACCTGACATCATGAGCAGTCGGCTCCACTACCCTCTGGTAGCTGCTGTAGCCGCCTGTAGCCGTAGCCCTGATTAGACCGTTTCAGGAAAGTTTCAGTTTATCTAGAGGAGGCATATCTAGAGAATCTAGAATCTAGAATCTAAAATCTCTAGAGTCTACAGAGTCTAGGTCTAGGTTCTAGTTCTACATTCTAGAGTTACTCGAATCTACACGTAGCGGCTTAGCAGGTCCAGAGATTCTGCGTAAGACTTAAAGTTTCAAAGTTTTCAATTAAACCTTTTGCGCAAACCCCCCAAGGCTAAGGCTGTGACAGGTGCAGGCATCGTTTCGTGTCAAGTCAATCGTTAGTCCCCCGTTGTAGCCGATGTGTGCGAAGGGTCAGGTATACGAACGTGCGTAACGTGATGCTACCACGGCGTGAGAGTGCATAATCCCCCAAACAAACCCGAAGCCCGAAGTCTGTCGCCAACGCCTTGAACGCTGAAGCAACTACTGAAGTTCACTGAACTAACTAGTAACTAATTTGCTCCTGAGGCATTGGAAACTGGACAGAGGAAGCTCAAAACATCGTCACTTGCTTCCGTACAATTCTGAACGGCAACCCATGGAATCGTGCTGGGCTGACACATATCTGTATCAACGGGTGCTGCAACTGTCGAAAAAGTGCAGAAATGAAAGTTCTATGGGCAGTGGCTAAGGTGGTATTTCGAAATACCCCGACCTTGCCATTGACAGCAGATTGGACCAAACTGGGTCCCTCCCTAGACTGGTATTTCGCGGCAGACTTCTCAGGCCTTTTGACCAACCTGGCGAGGTTTGCTGGCCAGTGGGCGGGGCAGCTGGAGCAGCGTGCATCTTCGTCATCAGCAGCCGCTGAGCAGGATGATGCTGCTGCGATTGCCGAGACCATCGACTTCCACACTTTGGCTGGGAAGCGCTACAAGCGCATGGTCCAGATGCTCCAGTCTCCCAGTGAACGCTTCCAGCGAGTCCTGTTGTGCATTACATTGGAACCTCTGCGCCACATGCATTCTACCTTTCTCAAATTTGCACACTCCGCGCCAGACGACGAAGCCTGGCCACTCTTGATGCAAGAGCTTCGCCTCAAGAGTTCCAAGGTGGTGTGCGTGCTGCAATATCTGGCAACACTTCTTTGTGGCAAAGGCAGCAGGATGGTGACCTTTCAGCAGCCGGGACTGGCTTCGAGAATATCCAGAAGAGGCTTTGGCAGTTCGTGCCCGGCTTTTGCTCATAGCGGGCTCCTTGGACAGACGACACGCTTGCAATGTTGACAGGCAGCCCTTCAAGCTATACTCTTTGGCCGATGCCCGGATATCGCCAGCGGAGCACGAAAGCACAATTTCGCAATTCTGGAAAACAAAGCCTTGCTGCCTGCCTGCTGGCTTTGCGCGGGAACTGCGCAAGACTACGACCGAGGACCAGTTCAAGGACGATCTACCCGCTTTCAGGTGGATGCTGCTGATGTCTGCTCTAATCACGAAAATGTCGATTGCAGGCGTAGAACGACGACATGCTGTGCACAAACAGCAAGCGAACCCTGGCAAACCCTTCCATTATTTCACCGCAGACAGCGTGCTCGCCGAATCCAGGCACCAGCTCATGGCCCTCGATCGTTTGAAAGAGGAGCGGGAACAGCGTGCTCGAGCTGCGGCAGCCGCCGCAGCAGCACCGAAGCCTCGTGCGTTGCTGAACTGCTCTGCTGCTGCTCCAAGGCAAGGATCTGGGCCTTCGGCCGTGGTTGCCCTGCCCCAGAGGAAGCGTCGGACTGCTTCGAAGGCGGGTGTCACGGGTGTCAGTGTAGAGTGTAGAGTGTAGAGAGCACAGTCACTGACAGTCACGGTAGTACAGTGTAAGACAGTGTAAGACAATGAAGATGATAGTGTAATAGTAATAATAATAGTAATTAGTAATAGTTCAGTTTGATAGTATGAGTATGAGTAATGAGTATGTATATGTATGAGTACGGTATCGGTATGAGTCGGTATGAGTGTGAGTATGAGTATGAGTCGTATGAGTATACGGTATACGAGTCTGAGCCTCTTAAACTTGGTTTCAGCCCTGAAAGTGCGTCTCAGATTTCAAGCTACTTCAGTTTTAAGCCTCCAAACCCTCATTCCATGCTTGCTGCCTTCTTCGATTCTTGGGATTCTTGGGTGGGGTTCCGTCTGCTCGGGCTGGGGGCCTTCGCAGCCTTAGCATAGCAGTGGGTTGAACCATTGGTTTGAACAACTTTAACTTAATGATTTAAGAAATTTCCTGCTGCAGCAGGAAAAGAGCCTGAGCTTAGGTTAGCTACTTGGCCCCTTGGCTCGCCCCTGGCGGTTGCGAGGAGCCCGCCCCGAAGTCCGGAGAGCCTGCGCCAAAGCGAGCCAAAGGCCAGAGCGCGCTGGAAATCTTCAAGAACCAATGGATGCGTGAGAACTCCCAGATAATCTCGAAGGCTTCGTGGGATGAGTGCAAACGAGTCTTTGACCAGCTGCCCGACGCACGAAAGGAGGAGTACCGAGTGCTTTCTGAAGTCAGCAAGGTTCAGGCACGTGTGAAGCGTCAATTTCAGCATTTGGCAGCACAAGGAGAGGCACCGGCAGCATCAACAGCTGCCCAGCTGGCAGCTTCAGCTTCTTCGCAGCCAGCATCCGTGGCTGCCGCGAACATCGGCCAAGTCCATGGCCAAAACCAAGTTGAAGACAATCTTGACCGTATGAATACGCAGGCCGCATCTGGAGCGGCAGCTTCAGATGTTCTGCGCAGACCGCCGCTTCATCGCAACATGGCTTGTCAAGAGCTAACGCGGCCTCTTCTCCAGCAGGCCACGCAAGGATCCCGGCCAACCAAGTTTCCGATCCAGCCCAAACCCCTCGACGAGAAGATCAACGTTAGAAACTTCAACAGCAGGCCGGTAGAGATTCAGTTTGCCCGGGATGCTTGCTATTTTGCAAAAGGCGAGTCGGTTCCGGACAAAGTGGTGTATCCTCCATGCTGTGGGCATCTCTGCAAGAATGCCAATACCACCAGGGTCATCAACTTCCATGGCAAGGTGATTCGCTTGCTGCAGGACGTCGTTCAAGCTTACGATGTGGCCCCCAAGCTGATCTCAACAGCGGGCATCATATTTGCAGCTGAACGCTACACTCAGTCCGGGCAGGATGCACCGGAAAATCTCAGTTTCTGGGCAATAACTGGTGCTGCTGGTAGACAGGCGAACCATCCAGCTCAAGTTACTCTTGCCGAGCTTCGCCCTTGTGCTGGCCACCACTCTGTCGCCCAACGGCGGTAGTAGATCGTAACTGTCGAAAGTTAGGAGCTCTGGGGCACTCGACATAGTACTCGAACTGTAAATGTGGTTAGGTCAACAGGGGCTTGTGTTGGTCTCAAGTTTTTGGTTTCGCTATTGCTATTAGTTCTTGCTCCTGCCGGCGTTTTCTGGCTGTGCGTGATAGCTGAACCTAGAGTTGGACCTAGACTTCAACTAGACTAGACCTTAAACTTTAGACTTTAGACTCTAGACTCGAGAGTCTAGACTCTGACTAGACTCTAGGACTCTAGGCTCTATAGACTCTAGACTCTAGACTCAAATTCAAGACTCAAGACTCCAGCCCCTAGACTTCTAGACTGTCTAGACTCTAGTAGACTCACTCCATCTGTGCCACGGGGTTCAATTGGACAGTACTTCGGCTTGCTGTCGCTGCTTTTGGTTGTGCAGGCTCGCCTACAAGATTCCGTTGGCCTGGTCTTGGAGCATTGCAGCTGGCCATTCGTGCAACCGGACCGGCCGAGACGGCGGGCTTTGAACCAGGCTGCTGTGGGAAGGCTCCAGTTTCGCTCGCATTTTGCTTGGTCATGCTGCATGCTGCTTCGGACTGTGTAGGCCAGACGACGTAGTTTGAACAGCAGGGAGGCAGGTAATGGCAGGTTCGAAATTGGAGAGCATTTGACTTCCAAAGCCCCAAAGCCCTTGCCGCCCTTCCCTCTACCGTTACAATTTTGCAGTCAGTAAACTATACAGTTTGTGAGGCTACGTTTCGTGACTGAAGATGCTTTCGCGGCCTCGATGTGCTTCACAAGTGCCAACAGCGATGAGACTGTGGAGGTGTTGAAGTTGAGCGTGCTCGGTTGGTCGCTGACTGAAGGTCGCCTGGACCGCTACTTGATCAAGGACGTGGATATGCAGCGCCAATTCCAGGTGCAGGCCGCGCCGCTCCCCAGGTCGGACAGACCGCGCATGGACCGCCTGGAGGCCGAGTCATCCGAAGAGCTGGATTTGCTTGAGGACATATTGGACAGACCAAGACCGTCGGCCATACCGGTTCGACAGCCTGCAGCTGCCACTGCGGCTGCTGATCATGTGGCAGCAGTGGACGATGTCAACGATGTCCATAACTTGCCCTCCGAAGACATCATCATCTTGGAAGAGGAATTTGATCCGCTGGAAGTCTTGCGGGCTCAGGAAGAGGAGTGCGCCCAGGAAGCACTGCCCCTTGACGAAGAACTTCATGATCAAAACGAGGAGGAGGAGTTGTTGGCTCAGCTTGACCACAACGTGCCCGGGAATCCGGGTGAAGCTGGTGCAGTGAACGTTGAGGAGGAAATTCAGCTGGGTATGCTTGGCTTGGATGCCGCACCGCATGCCAACATATCCAGCTTGCCCATTGTGGATGTTGGCTCTTGGCACTTCCGTACGAGGAATAACAATGAGGATGTGGGCAGGCTTCACCTTGTTGGACAATCGACAATCAAAGCGACGTGCAAAATCCACAAGCAATGCATTTGTATGATTAGTATGCCTACTCACGGCACAGCCCGACATTCTTCAGTTGTCTCGCGCATGGGCCGCGAACCGGTGATGGTGGACATAGAGCAAGACTTGGTGCACTGGCTGGCAGCTGGAGTGGGTTCGGACGCTGCGAACCACAACGAAGTCGGTCGCAGTCTGAGATCTGAGAAATGGTTTGTCAAAGTGCGCCCAACTCGTGCAGCATGATCCTGCTGTACCGCTGGGCTGATGTGTCTGTGGCTTGGCTACGTCCTGGCTGTGCTTTCAAGCTGCTTGCTTACTATTACGACTTACAGACTTACATTACATTCTTATTATATTACTTACGTTGTTAGCTTGTAATTTTAACGATAATGGCATTCAATAACTTGATTTAATGATAACTACTAGTTTACTGACTTATTAGTTTACTGATTATCAATGTAATCGTATAACACAGACTCGACGAGTAGCATCGAATCTAACAGTCTAACTAACAATCTAACAATTGTAACAGTAACAATCTAATAAATCTAATAATCTAATCTAATAGTATACCAAAATTTTCATACGGAGTGCAGTTATGTTATCTAGCAATCTAGTCATAGTCTATTTTGTATTATACCGTATATGCATTCACCATATGGACCATATGGACATATGGACCATATAGTCATATGAGTCATATGTATATATAAATAGATATGTATGTAGATATACTATCTACTGTAAGAAATATAACATAGTGTAACATAGACATATAATCATATATAGACCTACAGGCCTCCGGGTTCGAAGTACGAAATACAGAACACATGGCGGACAATAGATGCCATGTAACAGATACCCCTAGCAGCCCTAGCAGCTAGCAGCGAGCAGCTTTAGCATGACAAAGGCAATGTACAACTGGGGAGCTGTATCATGTAAAATAACGGAAACCGCAGACGTGCCACGCATCTGCATCACAGCATCTGGACTCTTGTATTTAAGAAGTGTGAGAGCTCGCTAGAATCACAAGCCGATGAACCTGTAAAAAATGTAATTGCCGCCAGAGGTTTGGTTTGATGTATGTCAGCGCGGCGAGCATCAAATCGAAGCAGGAGGCAATTTGGGCTGGGTCACCTGGGCAGTAGTTGCAGGATACCGTTAGAAGCATTTGCCATGAGTTATTAGCCGCCTTTTGGCTAGCCATCCTTTGGACTTCGACTCGGCTGACTGTTCAGACCTGCAACAGCCCCTGTGATACCACAAACCTACGCTGGTTTGTTTGCCTCACTCTCACTCTTTCTGCCTCCCTCTGCTTCTCTCTCTCTCTCTCTCTCTCTCTCTCTCTCTCTCTCTCTCTCTCTCTCTCTCTCTCTCTCTCTCTCAGGGTTGTTTGGCTTGTGCAACGTTACATTAAATAAGCTTGCAAAACCTGGCTCCGCCTTGAGCCTTTAATTTTAGCCTTTTAGCCGCTGTACCCCAAGCCAAGCCCAAAGCCTTAAGCCTTATTTGGACTTATGTGTAAGTCGTGCCGTAGCCCCAGCCCTCATAAGTTCTGTCCCAGCACTTCCATTTGCAGGGGCTAGGTCCGGCTAGGTCGGCTAGGTATCTGGCCCGTCTTCGAAGCAATGGAATTCTTTTCGAGTCTTCGAGCCTGAAACTCAATCTCACACTTGTACTGAGCCCCGCCGGCTGTAATCCAAGTGAATCATCCCGTGAACCCAGGCGTAGGAGCGCGTAGTGTAGCATAGTCCTCAGAAGAGGTCCTTGTTCTGGAACTTGGAACCAAGCAGCACCGCCGTAAGCAGACACGTAGAGTTCTCAAATCGTCAACCATGAACCAGTTATTTTGCATGCTAGATGCCATTTTCACCACAACTTGATAATGATGCTGTAGATGATAATGAAGACGAGTCACAAGTAGCTATGATGCCACCGCCATGCTGCAAGATGATATTCAGAAATCACAAGTACCATCGTAAGGATGATGAAATAAGTTATGATACAGCATTCTGGCACTAGATCTGGGACCAACTGTATTCATGGCCTCATTGGTTTTGATCCGGGCACTCGTTTGCAAGAAAGTCTGTGTGTTTGATCAGAGGATTGCGAGCTGGCGCTTCGGAAAGTTTTTGCTGATGTTGAATTCCTTGCGTCCTCGTGCTTTGGAGTTCTCCGATGGATTGCATATTGCACCGGCAGCCTGTTGAATAATTATTATATAACGTCATCTCTCGGCATTAACTTATCACGTTTGGAAGACTGGCAATATGGAATCGTTACGGCACGTGAATTTGCTGTCCTCGAGAACCATATTGATGCGGTCGATCCGCTAGGGCCAGGGCACTCCTTCCAGCAAGTGCAGCAAGAGTCTTTGACGAGTCAATGATATAGTTTAATGTAATGATACATACATATTACATAGATATATATGTGTATATAGACATCATACAGTATATACAAATATGACAGAGAGAGCACGCAGGGAGGAGACCAAGAATCACGACAGCGACAGGGAGAGCGCGAGAGAGTGGGAGGGAACGGGAGAGAGAGAGAGAGAGAGAGAGAGAGAGAGAGAGAGAGAGAGAGAGAGAGAGAGAGAGAGAGAGAGAGAGAGAGAGAGAGAGAGAGAGAGAGGGAGAGATTATGATAGAGAGATGGATTGAGATACAGAGTTCATATCACATAGATAGAGAGATAGAGAGATAGACTGAGATAGACATAGACATAGATCATGGAGAGATAGAGACATCTGACAGACATATAGAGTCGTATGATGTCGTATAAGTCATATAGTCATATAGTTCATTTAGAGAGATTACAGAGACAAAGAGAGATACAGCAGGAGAGAGAGAGAGAGAGAGAGTCTGTGTGTGTGTGTGCGTGGTTGGTTTCTATATCTTTGTGGTCTATACAGTACAGAATCGTGCAGAAGCGTGAGATGTGAAGCTGTAACGTCACTAGTCACTAGTTCTTTGTCAAGCAGGTGACTTTGACAATGTAATTATAAGTATACTGAAGTAGGTCTTATAAGTCTTAAGTTTACAAGGTTCCACGAGGCTTAGTCAGTTGGTGTTCATCAATCGTACGTTTAGAGACCTGGGAAGGCAAGAGATTATAGAGAGGGCAAGAAGAAGAGAGACAGAGAGAGAGAGAGAGAGAGAGAGAGAGAGAGAGAGAGAGAGAGAGAGAGAGAGAGAGAGAGAGAGAGAGAGAGAGAGAGAGAGAGAGAGAGAGAGAGAGAGAGAGAGAGAGAGCGAGAGAGGAGAGGAGATAGAGAGAGAGAGAGAGAGAGAGAGAGAGAGAGAGAGAGAGAGAGCGAGCGAGAGCGAGAGCGAGAGCGAGAGCGAGAGCGAGAGCGAGAGCGAGAGCGAGAGCGAGAGCGAGAGCGAGAGCGAGAGCGAGAGCGAGAGCGAGAGCGAGAGCGAGAGAGAGACAGATTTGGGATGATTGGAACTTCGGCGGGAGTCTGTTGATTCCAACAAGCCAGCACTGGCAAGTGGCGAGTTCATCTGCTTCGGCGGCTTTTGCATAGGACG